AGGAGGAGGAGGAGGAGGAGAGGAGGAGGAGGAGGAGGAGAAGGAGGAGAGTACGTGTAAGAGGATGATGATGAGAAGGAGGAGGAGAAAGAATAGGAGTAAGAAGAGGAGGAGGGAAAGAGTAAGAAGAAAAAGAGAAGAAGAGGAGAAGGAGAACGACAAAGAGGAGGAGGAGGAGGAGGAGGAGAGGGAGGAGTAGGAGTAAGAAGAGGAGGAGGAGAACGACGAAGAGGAGGAGACCGAGGAGGACGGCCGTGGGAACCTACACCTGCTTCCTGATAGTGGCTCTCCAACACCCCAATACTGAAGCACCGTGCATTGTTCTCTCACTTTGGACAGTCGGGAACACGGGCGTCTACAGCATACGGGCGTGGGCGGGCTCGGTGTCCCATTTTTAGAGAGGGGAAATATGCTGTGGGCGGTTATGAAACGCCGTTGGTAATTCTAATCGTCTCCGTGGCTACTTTTACTGATAAAATATCTGTTGTTATTATTAACTGATATTATCATCGTTATCATCATTTCTACATATTTATTCCTGCTTCCTTTCTTTTTCTTTTTATGCTACTAATAAAAGAATCATGATAATAATAGTAGATGATGAGAATAGGTGTATTTTTTTCGGTTTTATTTTCACGCTATTGGCTCTTAATGCTTTCATAACATTAAGAATACTTAATGATGATGTTATTATCGCTATTGTCATTGTTCATTATTCATCTTCTTATTTCACTGTTGTCGTCAGTATTTTTACCATCATGGTCATTATACTCCTAATACTAAAACTAATACTAACACCCAAACTAATACTGATACTACTACTACTACTAATAAAAAAAATGATGATAATAATAGTAATGATAAAAAGTAGTACAAAGCTAATGATAATGCAGTGATAATAATGATAATAATAATAGTAATGATAATAGGTAGTAATGATAATATCATTAATTCCATCAACAATAAAGACATATCTTTAATAATGATAATAATAATAATGATAAGACGATAACATTAAAGATAATGGTGATAATAATATAATGACAATAACATTAAAGATAACAATATAAATGATATCATAATAACAACAATAATAAAGATTATGATGACAATAATAGAGCTAATAACTCAATTCGTATATCATCATCTTAAATTTAGAATAACATTAAATTTAGAATAAACATTAAAAGGTATAAAAATAAAAATGACAATATTAACAATAGTGATAACAAATAGTTTCATTCTCATTCTCATCATATTACCTCCATAATTACTCCTCTCTCTCCTACATAGACGATAACAACGCTATAAACAACAATATAAAGACACGCTTCTTATTGACAACGGGCGCAACCTATTGACAACAACAACAAAAAAAAAAAAAGAAAAAGAAAGAGAAGAGAGAGAGAGAGAAAAAAAAAAAGAGACGAGGAGGTAGTGAAACCTGGCGTGATCGACCGTAGAGTTCCACAGCGCCATTAGCCGACGAAAGCCATTTGTCGAGATGGTCCCGAAAACCTGCACTTAATACAGGTAGACCCTCACTCATACATCACACCTGGATATTAATGCCACCCTCTGCCATTAATGCTATTCATTACTTCTTCGATACTAGCCATTATTCTTTACCTTTTTCCAAAGAGAAGCTGTCGATAGAGTGGTAGCATTTTTTTTTTTGTCTTCAGCATGTTTTATATAATTTGATACTTGATGTATGTGTGTATATTTCCTTAGAGAATAGGGTGTAGAGTGTTTGGATTTTATGGCATCGTTATTATCATCATTATCATTGCTAGTATCATAATCAAATTATTATTATCATTATCATTATCAAATATATCATATCATCATCATTATCATTATCACTACTAATATCCTTATAATTATTATTATTTTCATTATCCTTATTATCATCGTTATCATTACTACCATTATCATCACTATCATAATCATTATCATTATTGTTTTACCCATTATCATCATTATTGTTGTTGTTGCTATTCTTTTTTTATCATTATCCATTATTTATTTTGGCTTTCGAATATCATTATTATCATTATCATCATTTTCATTATCATCATTATAGCTATTATCTGTACTATCATTATCATTACTAGTCGTTTTAATAGCAAGATCCCCATCATCATCACAATCAATATCACCATCACCATCACGATCATCATTATCACCACTATTACCATCCACATACGTAGCCTTTTGTGTGAGTAAATCATTTTTGTCGCCATTACCTTTCCGAGATGTACTGTAGTACCATTTCAATATTCACTTTGTGCATTTGTGTCGACTTACTTTAACTTTTATTGGTGTAAACAGGCAAGGCTGGTTCGTAAATAGTGGGAATATGTATGCTAGTCTGGATTATACTAGCAGTACTATATGCAAGAAAGTGATATGCAAATTTGCTTATCGACACAAGTACAGACGCACACACTAACACACACTAACACACACACATACAAACACACACACACACACATACACACACTAACACACATACATACACACACACACACACACAAACAAACACACACACACACACACACACACACACACACACACATACACACACACACGCACACACACACACACACACACCACACACACACACACACACACACACACACACACACAACACACACACACACACACACACACACACACACACACACACACACACACACACACACACACACACACACACACACACCTAAACTGCTCCCTTTTGCTGACAATTTGTTCGTCGTCAGCTGGGTAGTGTGAAGGTATGTTGTCATCACTTTCCCTTTTTGTTAGAGAATGGAGGTAGATATTTTACTTATTTCTCTCTCTCTGTCTTTCTTTTTTTCTTCTCTCTCTCTCTTCTCTCTCTCTCTTTCTTTCTCTCTCTCTCTCTCTCTCTCTCTCTCTCTCTCTCTCTCTCTCTCTCTCTCTCTCTCTCTCTCTCTCTCTCTCTCTCTCTCTCTCTCTCTCTCTCTCTCTCTCTCTCTCTCTCTCTCTCACTCTCTAGATAAACAGATAGATAGATAGATATAAACAGATAGATAGATATATAGATAAACAGATAGATAGATATATAGTAACAGATAGATATAATAGACAGACAGATAGATATACAGATAAACAGATAGATGGATATATAGATATAGATATATACATATATATATATATATATATATATATATATATAAAACAGATAGATATATAGATAAACAGATAGATAGATAAATAGATAAACAGATAGATAGATATATAGACAAACAGATAGATAGATATATAGATAAATATAGATAGATGTATAGATAAACAAATAGATAGATAGAAATACAGAGAGAAATATACAGATAAACAGGTCGATAAATAGATAGATATAGAAAGACAAAGACAAAGTCAAAAGACAAAATACAAAAATACAAAAAACAACACACACACAAAAATCCACAACCACTACCCACACCATCCCACAAACCCACCCCACACCCACAACCCACCCCACACCACCCACACCACCCACACCACCCACCCACCCCCACACCCACCACCCACCCATCCCACCCACCCCCCCCCACCACCCACATTCCCAACCCGAACCCTTACCTGCGTGGCGAGCACCTCCTCGAGCCGGTGCGGGCGGCGAATCGTCCAGGTCAGCGTCGGCGGGGCGGCTGCCGAGGGCCTCACACCACACCTTGTAGCGGTCGCCGGCGAGGAGGGTGGGGGGAGGCCCGTGATTCGTACCAGGCGGGGGGCCACTGCGGGAGAGAGAGGGGGGGGGAGAGGGGGGGAGGGGGGAGAGGGAGGGGAGGGAGGGAGAGGGGAAGAGGGAGAGGGGAGAGGGGAGAGAGGGGAGGGAGAGAGGGGGGAGGGGAGGGGGGGGGGAGGGGGAGAGGGGGAGAGGGGAGAGGGGGGAGGGGAGAGGGGAGAGGGAGGGGAGAAGGGAGGAGAGGGAGGGAGGAGAGGGGGAGAGAGAGGGGAGAGAGGGGGAGAGAGGGGGAGAGGGGGGAGAGGGGGGAGGGGAGATGGGAGGAGAGGGAAAGGGGGAGGGGGAGGAGAGGGGAGGAGAGGGGGTGAAGATTAGTTCGTATGTATATCAAAGGGTGAATGGATTAACGGATTAGTGAGTGG